AAATGGAACAAATCAAATCATGTATCCAAAAAGAAGAAAAATGTGATACCCCGCCCCACGGAGTCGAACCCTGCGCAGCGGAGTGAGAATCCGCGATGTTAACCGATACACCAGAGGGGTGTTTCTCTGGTTTTTTGTTGGAAGAAGCAGCTGGAAACCGCCATTTTAAATCTCTGATGCGTGGTTGTGGAAAGTGATTGCCCTTTTTGAGTGATGCGGACAAGACAGTGAAAGAAGAGGATGGCGCAACTGAAGACGAACCTGCCTGCCCCACCAAGGAACAACATTGTTTCCGTGCTTGTGTCTATTGTTTACTTCCCCTGTTCATACCGAGAACCGGTTCGACGGAATAAGTGCTGGTGCTTCAACCCAAAAAATTTAATCGTCATTTCCAGTTGGTCTCTGGACAACCGCCCAGGCAGAATTTTGCATCACCGGTACTAATTTAACCAATTCAACCATTGTCCAACCAGCCATCCCAACAACATGACTGTCAAGATTTCCTCGCACCTGACACCCCCTCTAATTTAGGGCACCCAAACTTGGATGGTTCCGCCAGAAACCGGTCAGCTCTGATCTCCACAACAAGAGCTGGCGTATGAGTAGCAGAGGAATCCGGATCCTCCATTTGCAATACAAATATTTTGGACTTCACAGTAAGGTTAGCCTCAGCTTTTTCCAAGCAGGCCACAGTCCTGCAGCATTCTGCAGGTAGGATTTGAGGTAGGGTGTCACCCATGGGACTGTAGCACACCCTCCAAGACCACCTTGGCAGGGAATCGAGATACTCTTCAATCGAGGGCAACCGGGTCCTGTTCTTGCTCTTCGACGCCAAGGGAGGTATCTAGGGATTTACCCACGTGTCGTTTCAGAAGGGATTTCGAGACTGCAAACTCATGCTGACCGGCTCCCATATGGCGCGATGGACCTTGGTAGTTTTCTGGGCTTGACAGTTCCTTCTCATACTTTCCTTGGATATCCCGAGTTGCAAGCCTCTGCAGAAACGAGGACCAAATTGACCGTCCCTGTTTATTTGCATTAGGATCCAGCTTGTGCTTGAGAAGGGTCGGGATTGTGTCCACTGAAGGCCATGGGCGATTGGAGTGGCCGGGGGAAGCGGTGGCCCGTTCTATACACCTCAAGGCGTAGTCGAGAAGGTCAGACGTATCCTGATTCCTCATTTGATCATGACGGACCATCAATGCTGAATCGAGGAACGGACGAAAGCCGAACTCTACCGCGAACCGTAGAATGTTTTGGTAGCAGGACTTGTTCGGCAATCCGGAAGCTCGCTGCTGCCAAGACGCTTGAAGATTGGGCTGTCGACAACCTCAAGAAGCCCCTTGCTTCTTGCATCGAGCTGCCGCCGCATTTGGTCCCGGCGATGGTTTATCTCGTCCAGTGTGAGAGGATTAACTTTTCCATGAAACGGATAGTCGGGGTCCTCGTCAACGTCATCCGGAAACGAGTGGAGCATAAGAGGAAGTGGCCTATGAGATGCAAGTGCGGCCAGAAATCCTTGTACCGTGAGTCGGAGATATTCGTCGGAGATTGAGTACAACATCTTGGAGAAGAACGTATCGAGATCCTTAGGGAACTTGTCAAGCCGGCGCTGCATGTTCGAAATTCTGTCGCCATACTTCGACCCCTCGAGTGGGGACCTGACTGCAAGAGTCACCCAAAGGAAAACCCCTAGAGCCCTTTAGACGGCAGATTCCATCAACTGACTGTAACCCTGCTCGTATCTTCTGTTGTGGCCGAATCGCGGGTGGGCTTGCAGTGTGTTTTGCGCATAGAGGCGGATATCGTTCTTGGTGAGATCCTCCAATTTTTTGAAAAATCGGTGGGGATCCAATCCGTAAGCGTCAAGGAACTCAGTCCAAGGGCAGCTAGGAATGCAGAAATTGATGTTTTCGTGGTGCGAAAATGCCTCCAGAGCCTCAACAAGCTCTTCAGGAGGGCCGCTGAATTCGTCAAGGCCATCGATGAAAAACCAGAAGCACACCTTTTTTTCGCTAGACAGTATTCGCAGCAAGGAACTCTTTAAGCACTCTGTATCCCAGTCAACTTGCCGCTTGCTGAGCTGTGGCGGAAGGTAGGATGTGAGATGAGGCGACTGTCTCAACACCTCGAAGAGGAGAGACCGGAGTAAGCCCTCTTGGAACTTCCGCAAATCTGTCCCGCCACTCCAGAAAAAGAAGTCTCCAGTGACAAGAGCACGGCCGTTTGACCACCCTTTCAAGTAACTCGTCACTTCTGGCTTGCCCCATATGAACTTCATCAGAGTCGACTTTCCAGAGCCTGCCTTTCCTTGAATCCAAAAGCAGCCGTGGTGATGGCGAAGCCAGTCTATGAAGCGGTCACGAACCCTCTTTGTGATCGGAATCGTTGACGTCAAAGAGATACTCGTATGTTTGCAGATAGGCGCCCTTCACGGTGTCGAATCTTGCCTGAAGGGTTTCGAAAAAGAGACTATCCAGAATGATAAGGTTCTCCTCCGCAGTCCTTCCTTGAGATTGCAGCGCTTTCAGGTCTGCAACAACCGACTGGATTCCACAATGAAATTTTTGATAGAGGTCTTGAAGCAAAGGCTGTCAAGGTCAGGCGCCGATATTCCACTCTCAGTTAAGCGTAGCTCATCGAGCTTTTGGATGATCGAGTCCTCAGTGGCCTTGAGGTTCCTGCGAACTTGCTCTCAAAAATGCGATTGTTGTTTCGAGTTTTGTGAGAGCTGACCGAATTTGAGACTGTGAATCGCTATATCGCTCATTTTAGATTTTGGCCTCTTAGATGTGTCTCGGTCAGATGAGAAGCTGAGCATACTCATAGCAATAGATAGTGTATATGCTGGCCGATCTGTGTCTGGAGTTTCGATAATCTCTACGTAAAGTTGACAACCTTCCCACGATCCTTCACATCCTTGATGGCGGCAATGAAACTCTTCCATTTCGTTTTCGGTCCTTGAATCTTCAAGGCTTGGAGAATTCCCAGAAGCTCGTCCGCAATGAATTTCGTCTCGGCGACCAGTTCTGCAATTTCTTCCGCACAGTCATCATTGTGGGGAAGGTTATCTGTAAGCTTTCTGGCACTTGCTGCGATGGCCTCTATTGAAGTGTTCTCTTCTGATGTGTCCTGGGAAGATGAGTGTATCTCTCTCGTAGCCTTGACCAAACCAACAGCAGATGTTGCAATCTGGACAACGCTGCTGACCGCGCCAACAGTTGCCCAAGGGTCCATTGTATGATATGTTAATTGTATAAATGAGATGGGACTGGGAAGGCTCGAACTGATCAGTTGGGGCTCTGAGTGATTTCACATCCCGGTGATCTGGTCTAATGCCAGACCCGGCATTTTACCTAGTAATCTGCCTTGGACGGTGAGGCTTTCCTTCTTGGCCCCCGTGTTAGGTCTGTCACACGTGACCCAATGAGAGATGTTTACTCCCGGCCAAAATGCTCCCACTAGAAGGTGGACGGCACAACATGAGCGGTGAAGTTTGGGAATTTCCTTCTAGCACCTATTGGTTGTGGAAACCAGCATACCGTTGAAGTTCCGTGAGAGGACGTGTTTCAACCATCCAGGCCTACTCAGGGACATTAGCTTCTCAGCGCAAAAGCCCACGAATAATTGGGGAAAATATCTTGGAATATAAGAAGTGCAAATTGCACTGGTGAAACCCTCTCTCTCCTCTTAAATCGAAGCACTTCGGCTAAGCCCAACGTCAAATTTGGCTTCTTCAACTCGCCCAGCGCCTGTCCATCCCCATGTGAGTATCTGCAAATTTCTGTAAGAATCTTAAGATGCTGAAGCCCACTTAAAAATCGCTTCACATCTTCCAGTGATCTCACAATTTGTTAAGGTATGAGCATTTTTAATTTTCGCTATTTACTTCCTTTCCTCAAGACTTCCCTTTCCATACTGTCTCCGAAAACCCTCAAGTTGATTGATGAAAGAAAAATTGTGCAATGTCAATAAAAAAGATTGTTAATAATTAGCAGCGACTCGTTTCGATCGAGTGACCTCCGGGTTATGAGCCCGGCGCGCTTCCACTGCGCCACGCAGCTGTTGAATCAACTCGAAGGGAAACCCCCTTTATGGAAAGTGTCCACCCCACAGTCACCTATTAAGCAGCAAGCTTGGAACTTTGAAAATAAAGGTAGTTGCCTACTTTCATCTTCTTTATAAGAACCTGAGAATTATAACTCTAACGAGAATGGTTTGCTTCTTTCCGGTTTCTCGTCGACCCGCAGAAAACCCTCGTTCCCCCCAAGGAAAAAACACAAGAAAAAGCCAAGCAAGCTTTTTATCGGGCCAAAAGCATGAAACTTGAAGCCTGCTCCGTCCCATCCATAATCTATTAGAATAGTGAATCGTGAATATTTCCCACGCTATAACCTCTAAAATCAAGTATATCTGTCCTACTCATCTTGGCATTGTTTAACCTTACCTTTAGCAAGACCTGTGCAAGGGAAATTAATATTGGTGAGCGAGTTGCAACACGGATCTACCTCTACCCGCTACGGCATCAGAAGAAAAAGGATTAGCCTTCAATGGTGACCACTAATGCCTTCTATAATCACAAATATTCATTGATCGGTATCAAATGACCACGACCGCCCTAAATATGCCCTTCTGATGAGGTTGTAAGAGAGTGCAGAGCGATGTCGCCTCGTGAAAACTTTATTTGGAACTGACCTTCTCCGAATTGCTAAGCAAACTGAATAATAAATTCGCCAGGCGTGCAAGGCGTCATCGTAGACAAGATGTCTAGGCCGTGCAGCGAGATCGTTCCCACAGGCAGTCGGGTTTGTGGTGAACGGACATGGGCTGGCCCACTGTGTGGGGCGGCCGGTAAACTTTTTTTAGTGGGGTTGTCACGGTCTTGGCAAGGGCACAGGCCAATCCACCTGCAACTAACATCGTCAACACACAAACAAGCACACCCGGCGGTTGGCCTACATAAGAGACAGATCCGCTCAAGGAATTCAACAAACTCCATTGGCTGGATGTCCGAGCGGTCTAAGGAGCCAGACTCAAGATCGTAAAACATCTTATTCTCCCAAAAGAGAATCGCATTCTGGTCTCGAAAGAGGCGCGCGTTCGAATCGCGCTCCAGTCATCATATTTTTTTGTGGATGAATTAACGTTGAGTGGTCTAGAATAAGGTTCCATCTCCAGGTAAATTTCTGATTCTTAGAAGAAATTGTCCGGGTATCGAACGGTTGGCGTGTTCAAATCGTACCCAAGTAATTTTTTTTTTGCCACCCATTGCTTGACCTGTCGGTAACATATACAAGGAACAAGCTGCATCTGTGTCTTCCCCTCTTCTCGGAAACTTGTGAGGCTTCGGTCGCTCATGATTCTTAGCTAGCGTATTAAGTGTTCTACAATTGCCGTTTACAATTGCCGTTCTACAATTGCGAACCTTTTTTTTTTTTTCGGAATGTTTGCCAACATACAATTTACAGATGTGAGCCCATACAGGCTGCCTCTTTCAGTCCCCTCGCCGGGAAGAGACAAGCCACTTCGGAACCACATATGCATGGTCATTGCCAAAAAACCAGCAAATCTCAACTCTTTCCCCATTGACCGCTCGGTTGTCAATGTCTCGTCCTTGCACGGATGCAGCGCCCCGGGGCCGGCGATCGCGCGCGCGAGCGATCCTCAAATCGGTCGGCGAGCACGAGCACGAGCCAAGCAAAATCGGAATGCATTCCAGTGGAGACCACGCCAAAAGGGTTTCAATGACGTACAGGATTAAGGAAAAAAAAGGAAAACCCCCCATGAGAAGGTCTGCCAGGCGGAAAGACAGCGGATGGACGGGTTCCTTACCAAGGTTCGTTCGGTCGGCATCACATCCCGTCCACCTTTGCGAACCTACCTATCTAGACCGCGGCTCCCCCAAAAGTCTAAAAGTCAATTGGACATTTTTTCCAGCCTTGAGATTCCCAACTGTTCCCGTCGCCAAAACATCATTAGTGTGGAGTGAGCAAAGTGTTGGATAGCATTATCGCCCCAACTCCCAACCACCGACGGCGAAAATGGCGATAGACGCCGTAGCTGCCAGCGCCGGCACCGGCACGGACGAAGAAGGCCTGCACAAACAGTATGACACGCCATTGGGGCTCGCGCATACGACGATGCAGGCGCTCAAGAATCGCATCAAGCTGCATTATGATCTGGCTAGCGATTACTACCTGAACCTGTGGTACGTTCTGTCGTGAGAAAGGAAAAGAAGAAGAAAAAAAAGGAAGGGAAGGAAACGCCAAGGCTAACCTGAGACCCTCTCCGTGGTGGTAAATAAAGGGGCGAACACATCCACCACGGCTACTGGGCCACCGAAGAGTCCAAGGCGGGCGACAGCAAGGAGGTTGCGCAGCTGAACCTGATCAAATTGCTGCTGGAGATCGCGGGCGCGCCCGTCGGGCAGGGCAGCGGCGTGCTGGACGTGGGATGTGGCGTTGGGGGAACCACGCGCTACCTGGCCTCGGAGCTGGGGGCCACGGTGACGGGTATCACCATCTCTAGCAAGCAAGTCCAGATCGCGACCCGCTTGACCAAGACGGCGGCGGCAGCCTCTTCTTCCTCCGAAGGGTCCTCCTCCGCGGCCGACGCCGACGCCGACGGGTTCATCCTGCTCGGGAAAGGCAAGGTCAGGTTCCTCGAATTGGATGCTGAAAAGATGGGCGAGTTCTTCGCTGCCGCCGAGGGCACCTTCGACGCGGTGTGGATCTCCGAAGCCCTCTCACACTTCCCGAACAAGGCGCTGTTCTTCCGCAACACTCAGAAACTCCTCCGAACCGGCGGGAAGCTCGTCCTCGCAGACTGGTTCAAGGCCAACGATCTAAGCGAGGCGCAATTTGAGACCGACATCAAGCCGATCGAGGACGGCATGCTGTTGCCGCCGCTCTGCACGCAGTCAGACTACGTCCAACGTGCTTCCGAGGCCGGGCTTTCCGTGGTCGGAAATGGGCCCAAGGATATATCGGGCGACGTAGCGAAGACATGGTCAGTTTTTCCCTCTCTCTTTATCCCTCCCCTCTTCAACCCAAACAAAGAAAAAGAATGTTAACAAGCCATTCATTGCACCGAAAACAGGGACATCTCATGGTCCCTTGTGCAGAACCCGGCACTATGGGGATTCGCATTCAGCCAAGGCCGCGACGGCATTGCCTTCCTCCAAAGCTTCCGCGCCATGCGCCGCGGCTACGCTGCCGGCACGTTCCGGTACGCCGTGATGGCGTTTGAGAAGAAGTAGAACGCAAGCCCCGGCCTCGCAGAAAGCGAAAGCAGTGACTTGATTATATATAATTATGAATTTACTTGTAGACATTCGCGAGGCATGTGCGAAAGGATAGATTTTATGTCGGCATTTCTTGCAGTTTTGTGCGATGTGACAAAACAACGCACTTTTCCACTGCTCAACAATTGAGAGGACATGAGACAGCTGCCAGTGGCGCGCGCGTCAATCCCTTCGGAAATGATCGAGTATCTTTATCGAATGACATAATAAAAAAGAAAAATGGATAAACAAAAACCACAAATAAAGAAAGCACCTGTGGAAAAGAAAAGGGGCGTCGCACAATTCGGACCTGAAGGAATGTCTGGGCAGCTGTCTCGCTGTTATGGTGGCAGGCAGGCGGGCGGGGTGGTGGAGAGAGAGAGAGAACGGGGTAGTACATATAGGACCCTACCCCGGTAGGTTTCCATCAACTAGCCACACGCTACGACAGGTGCTCAACACCTGCAAATCTTCCGTAGTATAGTGGTCAGTATATGAGCTTGTCATCCGTCACCGGATTCCGCTCGGGACCCGGGTTCAATTCCCGGCGGGAGAGATACATTTTTTCCCTCTTTTTCCTTCCCTTTTAATATACACCCCATTCACAAGGGCTCCACTTTCCGTTTATCTGTCTGTCCATTTGTAAGAGCAAAGTGGAATTTTTTTGGGGAACTTGCTTATTGCAATTACTCAATTACTTTATATCCTTAGTTTGTATTATTACAAGTTCGACAGACAAGCAGGGCCCGAGAACCAGAAAACAAAGCAAGCCACCCAGCACAAAAACGGACATTGACGAAAGGAAGAGCCCTCTCAAATGACAACCTCACCCACCAGCGGCAAGTCCCGGGACGACCGTCCAACAGTTATGTTATACTTTCCACTCCCCAGCTTCCACTTCTGCGCATTCGTATCCCAAACGCTCAAGTCCCTTCTCGTCAACTCAAATCGCACCGTTGCCGTTTCCGTCGCATTAATGAACGGTTTCTCAAACCCGCGGAGTTGCCGCACGCTGTCCGACCCGGGTATCCCGACATACAACTGCGCGACCTCGGCGCCGTCCGCATTGCCCACATTCGTGATGTCAGCACTTACTCGAAACAATACGTCCCACAGGTCCGTCGGGCCGCCCTCGCGCACCGCCCCAGACGGGTACTCTGCAAACAGAGCTGTCGAGTTCCCCGAAGAAGTAGTGTTGGCCTTCTCGATGGCCAGGTTGCTGTAATTAAACGTGGTATAGCTCAGCCCGAAACCAAATTCGTACCGCGGCGTGATGTTCTTGGCGTCGAAATGTCGGTAGTCGAGCAGTGTGCCCTCGGAGAAGTTGCTTTGAGGGAATTTGAGGAACTGGCCTTGTGGCAAATCGGGTCCGAGGACGGGGTAGTCTGTCTCGTTGCGCGCGATCGTGTACGGCAGCCTGCCTGATGGGTTGGATTTGCCGTAGAGGATGCTTGTGAGCGCGCGGCCCGACAACTCACCCGGGAGATGGGCGAACAGAACTGCGGTAACATTCGGATGATCGATAAATTGGTCGACGAGCCGGATGCCAGCATTGTGCAGTACCACGATGGTGTTATTGCATTGGTTGGCGATGTGCTTGATCAGGCCGTCGGTATAGTCATCATGCATCCCCGGTCTGTCCTGCCCCTCCGTTGCCCACGCATTCCCAAAGACCAAGCACGCTTCCGAGTTGGGGTTTGCGAAGGGCTTGGCGGATGTAAGATCCCAAAAGAGCGCAGTGCCGTCGTCATATGCTTGTTGAGCGATGGCATCAAATGGAGCCGAGACGTACGACTGGGACGGAGCACCTGACCCTCCACCTGCGATCAAAGTGCCGTTGAAAGAGATGGAAGTTTTCCCGACCTTCCCTGAGCCGCCAAAGCCCGTCAGGAGCTCCATGATATCGTTCGACTGCGCACCCCATAACCATGACGAGATGATTCCTCCAGGCGTGTTCACATCCGAATTCCGGGCGCTATATCCAAAGATAGAAAGCATCTTTGGGCTTTTGAGGGGCAGGGCGTTTCGAATGTTCTTGACGAGAACATGACCCTCAACAGCACCGTCGAGCAAAGTGGAACGGAAGGATGAGTTTCGGCTGACACACTGTATGTTAGCATGAAGGACAAAACAAAATTCGGGTTGATCTCAGAAAGGTACTTACGCATCCACAACGGTGTGAGCCTTGGTCAAGTCGGATGCTGTGGGTTCTCGGTGTCAGTATGACTTCAACTCAAAACAGTAATTGGCAAACTTACCCATTCCAACGCCAGGCGATGGGTAGCCTCTATCCTGGCTACTCTTATAATACGAGGCGAGAATCCTGTTACTGTCAGTTGCATGCTAGTCCGAGCATTGGAGGAATTCCAAGTTACCTTGAGGCCATGTCATCCAACCGACTTTGGGGGACTGATCCGTTTTTTATTGCAGTCGCAAGATGGGAGCCCCAGAATGTGTCGCCAGTTGGCATTGCCATATCAAGACCAGCCAAAGCTGTGTCGACTCCCGCGTGTTGCGCCCCCCAATCAGTTACCACGAACCCCTCAAACCCTAGTTCTGTCTTCAAGAGGCCGTTGAGTGCTTTGCTATTGGAGCAGCCATATGAGTTATTGAGGCGTTGATAGCTGCACATAATGCCGCCAGTGCCTGCCTTGACGGCATCCATAAAGGGCCTGGTATCAAGTTAGGAGGCGCCAAGATTTACCAACCAGGTTTGGATCTTACCAGAGGTAGAGCTCATGGAGTGTCTTGTCGTCAATGTTGGACGAAACAGCTTCAATGCCGCCGCTGGGCACCCGGTTTGTTTCTTGCTCATTGCCGATAAAGTGCTAGACGGT